GGAGTGGCTGGCCTCAGGGTCGCAGACAGTTTATCCTGTTAAGGACAGAGTCCAGTTATGAACACATGGCTATAGCAAGAACATGTAGTTTGGCACTAGCTGAAGTTTTCTTTTCTTTTCTTTCTTTCTTTCTTTTTTTTTTTTTTTTTTTTTTTGTATTTTAGGGAAGGGCCTACACGGTGTTCAGAGTCTCACTACTAGATTGGACTCATAGTGATCTGTCTGCTTACAGTCTCCCAAGAGCTGTAATTACAGGTGTGTGCCACCACGCCCAGTCTCATTCACCATCTCAGTGCGCCCCAGGGGCAGGGCTGGCACAGCGGGCCCGGGGATCGAACCCCTGGCCCCTGCTCCTGGTTGCAGGTGCTTTAATCTGCTGAGCTATGTGGCCTGCCCTATTAGCTGAAGCTTTCTGATTTCTTTATTTTTCTCAGAGAAACAGAAAATAAGGCCACTGGTTGAAAACTAGGATGAAAGAGAAACTGTGAGAAGTTGGAGGAGAAATTAGAAAATGTTGTCCAGAAGGTTAGATGAATAGACAAATACGGTAACATGGGAGTTCTTCAACTACACCTTTTATCTTATTAGTATGCATCAATTATGCAGCATATTGAACAGTGAGTTCTTGACAGTCACTCAGCTTGCTTGTTTGCTTGCTTGCCTTTTCCTCTTTCATTCATCCCCTGACAACTAACATCCAGCCTACTGCCAGCATCTGGGAGTGCATAATTTCAGAGCTGGAGTCACTTGTAGCTAATCCCGCGTTCCCTGTCCTAAGCAGCCTCACATTCATCCTACATACTTGTTGCGGCTACACATGCGGACATTTGAGCCACAGAGGGATGAGATCAGTAAGAGAGTGAGAAGAATGTATCTTCTCAGATATCTGATGAAATAGATTTTTAGAAGGTCCTACAACTTGCCCAAGGTTGGTCAGCCATTGGGGGACAGTACGGAGTTGTAAATCCCGCAGGGGCCGGGGAGACGGCTCAGTGGAATAATAAGCGATTCCCTGGCAAGTGGAAGGGCTTGCGTTCAATGCCCGTTTCAAATTAAAAAAAAATAAAAAATAAAAAAAAAGTCCCGCAGAGATGTTGATCTTCCAACACCTGGTTTGCTGAGGATTTTGCCTGCACGGACCTGACCGTCCAGCAGAGGGCGGTGCTATTCGCAAAAGCAGGCCTGCCCCACCCAAGGCTCTGGCTCAGCTCGGGCAGTAGCCTGCAGGATTTCACCCTGAGGCCACAGCCCGGATTCTTTCGAGAATGTTTGCTGATAGCAGTTGTTTTTGAGAAAGGCTTTTCCCCAAAGTACATCTGGCAACATGTGGAGACCTTTCAGGCTGTCCTAAGTAAGACAGAGAGCCTGCATGCGAGGCACAGCCGCCCACCCCAGCAGAGGACTGTGTGCTCCAAAATGTGCACGGGTGCATTGACCGATCCTGCCCTGAGGGAAAGTCCTCCCAAAGGGACACAGAAAAACAAACAGAAGATAGGTTTTATTAAAAAAAAATGTTAATAATAACTACTACTAATAATAATTACCATTATTATAGCCGTCAGCCTAAAATAACCCAGGTTCACTCCCTTGGTTGTGAGCGCTGGGCGGATCTTGCTGTCTCAGCTGCTCGCTTCCTGACTTGCCATCAGTGTGCTGAGCTGGGATGCGAGTGAGTATGTGTGTGTGTGCGTGTGTGTGTGTGTGTGTGTGTGTGTGTGTGTGTGGTCGGCCCCGCAGATCCCCTGGAGGAGACACTGCCCCCTCCGGGCCCAGCCCTGCTCGCTGACTCTCTCTCAGGAAATATACCTCCTGCTGTGGGGATGTAAGGTGCAAGCCGTGCACGTGCGAAAGTCTCGGTTTTTTCATTTATTACAATAAAAGGCGCGTTGCTATTAGCACCCCTTAAAACTCCCCCTCTCCCTTCAAACACACGGATCCCACCATCCTAACACCTTCTGAATCTGTTCTGGAGTCCTCTTCTGTGAGCGTCCACTGCTGCACTGTCATGGCTGCCGCAAAGTCCTGAATGGCTTCAGAATGTTTACCCGGCATAGTTCTTCTGACCTGGGTAAAGACATGATGATTAAGGTAAGGAGAACACATCACGAGCCTGCCTTTCCACTGGATGTAAGCCAGCCGCAACACGCACTATTTTTAAGCAGACCTTGCCGAGATATAAAAGAGGCCTTTCAGAATTCCATCAGAAAGTGGCAAGAAAAGTAGGGTGTGCTCAAAGCAAAGGAGAGAGTTCAATAGGGGAGTTCATGGCAAGGCGTCTTTCACTGTAATAAATTTTCTAAATTTAAACTGTCTCTGTATATTTGATCACCCCTTGTATTCTCCATCTCCAAACAGTTTGTGATTTTGGAACTAGGTCTTTGCAAAACCAAAATCTGTCCTACACCTCCTGGCTTGGCAGGAGTAGCAGGGGGGCATTCCCTGCCCCAAGCACTTCAGATAGTCCGGGGAGTGGCTCTCAAGTCTACGGGCCTAACCTTCTTAAACTTGCATTCTTGTGTGAGGAGGCCTCCTTGGAATTGGGGCTGCTTTTCTGAAACAGGCCCATTTGGGAAGAGATAAGCACTTATCCAGATTTTGTTGAAATAAATTTCCTCCAAGCCACGATGGGCCCAGGGTTCCATAAACATTCACTTTGCTCTGCGGATCTGCTAGCTCCCTCTTACTGTGCAGCTCCGGCGCAGCAGAATGTGGGCTGGGGAGTCAGCTTTGCTTTTTGCAGGATTGTTTTCCTCTTTCCTTTGTGCATAGTACCTCCTGTGAATGTCTAAAGCTGTATAAACTGTGAACCTAATGACCGTGGGTATATAAGACAGGAAAGATAGGAAAGATGAGGCAGTATTTTTTTTTTTTTTTTTTTGTACCAGGGATTGAACTCAGGCACTTGAGCTTGCCAGACAAGTGCTTAGTCTACTGAGCCATCTCCTGGGCCCTTTAAAATTGTTTTGTTTTTTGAGGCCGTCTTTTATTTTATTTTTATTTATTTTTTATTGAGAAATAAGTATGAATGAGACAGTTTCACAGCTGATTAATAGGACAGTTTTGATAGTCAATACAGTGTACATTGTTATCTTCTTAGTGGTTATCCATAGTACAAGAAGCAGACAGGATATTCTGTCCAAACACTGTTAGTACACCTCTTTCTTCTCATTGAATTAAGTGAAAGTAGCTGTAAATTTATCCTAACTATTTTGTATATATGAATACA